AAAATATCGAACATAATATTCCTGGGCCCTATTTTTCACTCCCCAGATTAAATTTAGTTGTAGCAAATGATATTATTAAATAAGATGTCAAATCACAAGCAAAATCTCGTGACTACAGTACTAATGATTGCCTGTTTGGAAAAGTATCTTTGTTTGTAAATATTTATATGCATAGTTATATTTAAATGCGCGAGTGTAATGTTAAGTATAAACAAAATCCGCCCATTATGTATATACGTTTAGTTACCGACCCTAGTAGATAGGCAATTTGTTATTGTTTTAAGTTTTACCGTAGGGAGAGAGAAAATCAATATTAGGATAAATGGTCCAGCTCCTTTCTGGTTACGTAGGTACCTAAAAAGTATTTTAGTTTTTGGTTAAGTAATTAATTATTGTAACAGTGATTTTCTTGTTATAGTACCTAATTTAGATTGTGGATTAAAGTTTTTGTATATAATTTCGCTGTTTAATAATAAACGTAGTCAAAACCGGAGCACGTGGTTTTTCTGGAAAGTATTTTTAAAATCACAAGCAAAATCTCATGACTACTGTACTAATGATTGCCGAAAATTAACTAATTCATATTTTATGCCATATCTTTCTTAATAAGGACTGTCAGAACCATATTTACCTTAACTTGAAATTTTTTTAATCGTTTTTTGTATAGAATCATCTCTAAAAATGTATGATTGAAATATCGTGCGAACTATTTGTTCGATCAATAAAAAACTTGCACCGGTCCTGTTCGCGCCAGCACCGTTATACGCATGAGCTCCGACACACTATTTTCTCCCTATGGTTTCATTTTTGATATATGGAATCGGCTTTCTATACTATTTCTATGGCTGTCTCAGTGTCAGCGTCTGAGTCAACTTGAACCTGTAGATATATATTATCTATGTCGTCATTTATTTTTACTGTATTATTTTTTAAGGAGTTTTTAAATATAAGTATGTTCTCGGTATATAAATCAATAAGGTCATTTTGGTTAGTACTTTGTTGTGGTGTGTTATAACTAAATAGATCTGAGTTTTGTTCGTTGTAATTTTCAGCATCTTTTAATATATCTCCTATTTGTTGCCAAAATGGGTCTGTTTCATTAGTATGCAGTTCGATTCTAGATAAGGCGTCGGCATTTGAATTAAGGCTACTTTTTTTGTAAATTATGTTATATGTGAATTCTGTTTTAATTTCCAGCGAGTAAATTTTGTGATTTCTTCTTTTAAGGAGAAGAGCCACTTAAGGGGTTTATGGTCTGTTATAATATTAAAGATTCGGCCGTACAGATACGGACGGAAATATTTAGTGGCCCACACAATGGCCAAAAGTTCTTTTTCAATAACTGAATTTTTCTGTTCTGTGTCATTTAAGGTACGAGATGCATATGCAATTGGTAGGTCCTTACCAATAGGGCCTTGCGAGAGAACAGCCCCCAGAGCGACATTGATTGCATCCGTGGTTAAATTAAAGGTTTTTAAGAAGTCAGGGTAATGCAAAATTGGTTCGTTAATTAACAAATTTTTGCATGTTTCGAAGCATTTAATAAACTCTGAATCGTGTACGATTTTTGCTCCTTTATTTAAACATTTAGTTAATGGTTTTGTTATTTTGGCGAAATTTTGAATAAATCGGCCGTAATACCCTAACAACCCTAGAAAATCCTTATTTTGTTTTGTTGTAGAAGGTATTGGATATTTTTTGATAGCTTTTATTTTATCGGGGTTCGGTTTGACGCCCTCTGGAGTCACAATGTGACCTAAGTAGGCCACTTCTTTCCTTAAAAATTCGGACTTATCCAGCTGAATTATGAAGTTTGACTCCCTAAGACGCTAAAAAACATGTTCTAAGCGTTCAATATGCTCCTGCAATGACGTCGAGAAAATTATTATGTCGTCTAGGTAAACAAGGCATTGCTCGTTTTGTATACTACGGAGAATATTGTCTATAACCCGTTGAAATGTCGCTGGTGCCCCTTTTAAGCCAAATGGCATTCTAAGGAACTCTCAGAGACCATTTTAAGTTGTGAATGCGGTTTTTTCTATATCTTTTTCGTCCATCTCAATCTGGTGAAATCCACTTGCCAGATCGAGAGTGGTAAAATATTGACATCTACCCAGTTTGTCTAATAAGTCGGTGATGTTTGGGAGGGGGTATTTATCGTCGATGGTTTTTGAGTTTAACTGTCTATAGTCTATTACAACCCTCCATTTTCTTTCCTCTGAGGCATCCATTTTCTTTGGTACCACCCAGATAGGGGATGACCTCAGAGAATTACTAGGTCGAATTATTTTTGAGTCTAACATCTTTTTTATTTGTTTTTGTACTTCGTTTTATATATGAATGGATATCTGTATGGTCGTGAATAAACAGATATTTCATCTGTTGTATATTTTGTGTTTGATTTTATTTGTGAACGTAAGGGGTAGATTATCTTGATGAAATATGTCTGTGTATTCTTTAATTAAATTAATTATCTGTGATTTCTCTTCTAAATTTAAATGGTCAGTTCTGAATTTTGAAAGGTCTAGGTTTTGTTTAAAATCTTCGTCAAAATTTTTTATGTCAAATTCTTGAATTAAGTCTCTATCAAATTTTTCTACATCTATTGGTTTTGAAAAGTCTAAGGTAATTTGGCAGGTAGAATTGTTTAAAATTGTCGTCAATGCTTCGCGATTTTTGGCTATTGTAAGACATTCTGGTATTTTTGATGTGGAATTATTATTTCTTCGTTAGAAACAGTAGTTTTAATTTTTATTATTTGTTCGCAATGCGGAGCTATGTTTAAAAAATTTGTTTTATTTTGAGTTGGCTGAAAAATTAACTGAATTTTGGTATAAGGGGTGGAGAGGTATCCTTGCAAGATTCTAAGGTTGTCTATTCCTATTAAACCATCACATATATTATGGAATTTAAACAACAAGAATTTTAAATTTGTATGATTTGGTAATTTAAAAATTTTTGGAGTTGGAATTAGCGTACTATACTTATGAGCAGATTTTTGAAACACAGACGAAACAATAAATGGATCGTCTTTTATGTATTTAGAATAAAATTTTGTTGCTACGTTTGGATCGATAAAAGATTTTATTGACCCTGAGTCGATAAGTAATTTTAAATTTTGTTCTGTAAAAAATATATAAGGTAATTCGTTTGCATTTTTTAAATTATTAAGGGATATGACGTGCGGGGTTATGTCGTGGGTCTGCCATGAGGCTGATTCTGAACATTTGTTTCTGGGTCAAAGGTATCAAGAATTGTGATATTTTTATATCTATCACCAGTGATACCACATGTAGTTACCTGACTTATTGGAATATATAGACTGCTACCACATTCAACTGAACTTGGTTGTTTTTAATATTTATCACTGTGACATAGGCTGTTTTTGTTCAAATGTTTCATTTTAAACTGCTGAAAATAGTTGCCTTCGGTTTGGTAGTTTTAGTCCCAAAAAAATCTATGCATATACAGGTACTCATTCCGCTTTGATTTGCTCGAAAAGTTAATTTTTTTAAAAAATTATATTGGCTGTTTAAAAACTCTTCATTATAATCCCTGAAATGTGACAATTAGGTAAATTAAATTAAAAAACAAATAAAAAAAAGTTTATTAAATTAATATTTACTCTTACAAAATAGGTTCTTGTAAGTTAACAAGCAATTATGCAGATATTACTAAGTAAATGTACTTGCTTAAAATTCACACAGGAAAGTGGTTTTAACATGTTAAATTCCCTAATCCTTCTTATAACTCTTTCCACATGTATTCTTAGAGATGCTATTCTTTTACTTAATTGTACATCTTCTGGAGAACTTTTTTCATTCTGTGATACACTAGGTGTGTCCTTACTAAAGTGCATCCCATATTTTCAAGTAATGGCTGAATATTCTGAAACTCCTATCTGCCATTATATGGGATCCAGGAACCAGTTTGTTTAAATACCCACATTTTTCTATTATTTCTTTATCACTAATTCTTCCAAAAAATGATGAATACATTCGCTATCTTCAAAACTTTCAGGAGATTCTGGATTTTCTTCCAGTAGTGTTTTTAGGTTATACACCTAAGAATTTATAGTAGCCTCATTTTCAATTTCCTGAAGGGGACAATTAGCAGAAATTGCTGCTACATCTTGAATATGCGATGTATTTTTATTAAAAAGTTGACGAGAAACATCGCTAGTAGAAGGTTCATTTTCTTCTTTCAAAATTTCTAGGAACACTAATAAATATTTTTGAAGATGAATGTGAATCATTATCACATTCTGGAACAAAACACTTTTTCGTAGTCATAATATTTATAAAAAGTACAAAATTAAACACTCAATTTCGAAAGAAATTCTTGATTGAGACACTATGACAGATGACACATACAGTGCTGCCGTTTTGCCATTTTCTGAATTATTAAGTGACTTTTAAAATAATGAAACTTTAAATATGGTAAAAGTTTAAACAGAAATAATACTTTTAAAAAACATTTGATATTATATATTTAAAAAATATTTGTTGATTTTTTCTTACGTGTTTTCTTTTGAATGTTAATTTAAAACATTAAAAATTCTTTTTTAAAATTTTTGGTAATAATAATGTCAATTATTACAACTTGTACTGACGAGATTATGCAAAAGTCGTTTAAGTTTTAAGCGGCGCGGTACAGGCGCTTAAAAAAAACGTTGACCAATACCGTTCTGTCGGAGTTCGCCCCCACAGTCCGACTTCACCCCGAATGACGGTACCGTAGATCGAATTATAGTGGATCTTTTTTGACGTATCTAATAATAAAACAATTGGTTAATAAATGCAATAAATCATTAATTATTTTATTTATTTTATAAATTTAACATATATTTGAACAGAAGTGAACATGGGATACTATATTGTTGAACACTTTATATGATTGTATAGGTACACGTACAGGTAAGTAGAATTAAAATTATTTATAAAAAATTATTTATTAAAATACTTCTTCCTAAATATACATGATAATTTCATAAATATGTGCTTGATTTTATTCAATCTATAGGTGGCTTTTTTAAACATCATTCACTATTAGTGACTTCGGTTCTTACTTGTACTTAAATTTAAAATGATAAACGTATATGTAGCCTTATAAATCTATAACAAAAAAGGTGTATTACTTATTTTCAGTAATTATTTAAATCAGTTTCCCAGCTACCTTTAATAATAAGTTGTTGCTGAGTATAACAACTCCAAAAGATTCAATTCTCAATTTATTTCTTGTTCTTGCCATCATTATTAACAATGATCTTGTTATATCTTTTGGTTGCCCAAGCCAATCAGATTGAAAAATCGAAGTACCAAGTTCTTCACTCTAAAAAATATTAATATATTCTATAAAGAAGAGAAGAATTGTTATACAATGTGTGGCACGTAAGAATAAAATAATGGATATCTCTTATTTTACCAAAAAGAGAAGAGAGTTTTTAAATGGAATTAAAAAAACCGAAGAGGCTAGCTGTAAGATTAGTATGCGTAGCATTTAAGCAGTAAAGTTTCCGGTAATGTCTTGGATGTATGCCAACTGGAACATTCCATTATGAGATATAACACTAACGGTTAAGCATCTACGACGTGGAATGAATGACGATGAACGAGTGAGAGAATGGGAAATTAGGACCTTCAAATGGTGAAGACACAATAAACTGCAGACTGCAGGGCCGCCACGCTACAAATGGATTAAGGTGACAGCACGAGGGGTTGAAAGAGTGAAAACAGTGGAATTATAATCTTACGCTACGAAAAAGTGGCGATCTGACAAATGCATACAGCTCAATACTAACTGTTAAGGTCTCTAGTTATACAAATACATCATTATTTGCGAGGCAGTGGCAGCCTATTTCACATTGATTTATCGACGTTTATGAAGATTTTGATATTATTTTCTTTATTACTTGTTATTTGGTCTTATTTTCTTGGCTGTGCTAAATAAAAGCTATTTCTAAGTAAATCGTAGAGGTTATTTAACTGCTCAAATCTGGAAATTTTTATAAACAAAAATTAAAATCTTTAAATCAGTAAGTTAAATTATTAAGGTATGTTACCAACTTGTAAGTTTGAATATTATTTAAACCTTATGTATCTTCCTTTTAGGCCTGAAGATGGCTCTGGAGCTGAAACCGGTTGCCTTTGTTAAGCTGTAGTTAATGAAAATTTTCTATGAGCTACTCATTTAGAGATTTTTATTTTCTCTTATATCTAGGTGTTTAGGTTTAAATTTATAGTCATTATAGTTAAAATTTTAATCGAAACAATATAGTGTTTACCTTTACATCATTAATGTTAGAAGACTTGCATGAACTGGAGCTAGTAAAAATATTATAGATCTTGTTTTGAAATGTCGAATGCACTATTTTGTTTAATATATATATATATATATATATATATATATATATATATATATATATATATATATATATATATATATATATATATTACGATCAAAGATGATATTTTGGTCTTTAACGATATTGGCCGGTCATTTTCGTAAATATCCTATTTGACTGAGCATTCTGCTGACGTTAGTGTCCGGTCAATATTGTCAGTGCCCAATTTACAACACTGCCCGTAACATATATACCAAGTGAGGCATTTTATTACAATTTTATTCGTCGCCGCTATCTTGTTTTTTTGCTTTCTCGTAAAATCTCGAGGTTACAATATAATAAATTTCAGCATTTCTTCGAGTAGCTCGGGGAGCAGGGGGTAATTACCCTTTTACCCCCTTTTTATCTGCATCTGGAATAATGGGCAAATCAAGGTTCTACTCACTAGTGTACCTTAGAAGCTGAATATTTAGTTAAACCACCATGAACGTATAACACTAAACCACACTAGGTACTCTGCTTTTACCTAATATTACTGAGCCAACAAAAATGATTGGTTCTCTCGAGCTTTCTTACTAGATTAGTGTTGTTAAGAAGCTAGCTAACCTTAACGTTCACATGTTGGAGAAGTCGATGTTCGTGACTACTGGAAAATTTTGGTATTGTCTTTTCAGCAGTCTCCACCTCAAGGTTTCTATATAGATCAGTATTGAGGCAATAACAGGGTCGATGTTATTTAATACTTTATTTTGGAAACGTTAAATAACCTTTACTGGCACAGCCTTAAAGCTGGGTACCATACGTCCAGATGGTTTTCAATATCTGATTATTAAGGAGTAGTTTGCTATATATGTCGACAATTTGAAGACATTTCAGAAATTTAGCAACCAATACATTATTTTTTTTATTTCATTCACATGTCCTTTTAATATGGATAGAGTTTCTATTTTTCCCCTATGGAGTAAAATAGTGCTAATGGGTTCATAATATTCAGACAAATATCAGAAAAATGATGAATTTTAGGTTAATCTAATTTATTATATTGGCACGATTCAGAGATAATGAAAATGATTAATAATAGATTGAACAAATTGGTTGCTAAAAGCCGATTATTACTAATCGTTTACATAAGACAAGTTAATTTTATTTTTAGTAAATATATTGACGTTTTCTTCTATCATTTTATATTCTCAGATTCCGCAGTTAAAATTTTATTAAGGTTGATTCCAGTAGTCTCGTTAAAAGGAAATTCTTTCATACTAATAGCTGACTCAAATTAGGAAGGTTCCAGGTACTTCTATACAATCCGAAGCTTAGCATTTACGTTGGTTGGAAAGCAATTCGGATAAGAAGTAAATCAGAAAGGTGAGTAGCAAAGCAAAGCACTCCAAATAAATCCTCAAAGGTGGGATAGTACAGAATACTCTGAGGATGAGTACAACATGTAACGAAAAGCCTAAAAATATAATGCATAGTTATTTATTTTTATTAATTGAATAATCATGAGTTTTACTAAGAAAAGTTACTATTGGTGGCTTATGGATAGATTAATTATATAAAGTATTTATATTTTAATCCTCTTGTGTTAGCAACTCTGCTAAAACTAATATGATCATATTTTTTTAAGTAGTGATTTAATCCGAAAAGGTTACTACAAGATACAGTTCATCTCAGGGAAAAATTGAGTGTTTCGTGACCAATAGAAAAGTAGATACTAACATTTACTTTACGACCAGGCTTGAAGGAAAAAGATGAAAAAGTGAAAATGGAGAAGAATATCGAAAGACTAAATTATTTTAAACAGACTAGATTATTTTAATAATAACCAACATTAAATAAATATTTTAATTAATGTCAGTTTTATTTATTAAAGTAAGTATCTACCACTGGATTTTCTCTTTCAATAATCCAAAAAAAGAATTAAATGGATATTGTTAATTAAAGTTGCGCAAAATATTAATGACCTAAATATAATTTCAAATTTAAATTACTTTTAACCCGTAACAGACACGTGCGTGTCCTGGGTCGACTCTATGTTAAGGGAGAGAACTATACACACAATCCTTATGGGAGAGACAATAGCGGCACGGGTAGCGAGAGGATGTCCGCTGGGTTGAGTGCTGAGTCCACTCCTGTGGAACCTTGTAGTGGACGGGCTGCTTAGGGCTCTTAAAGATAAGGGACATAGAACCCTGGGATATGTCGATGATCTAGTGATCATGGCACAGGGAAAATACAACACTATAGTATGAGATCGAATGCAAGAGGCTCTAAATATAGTAACAAAATGGACAGAGGCGGAAGGACTAAACATTAGCCCAAACAAATTTGATATAATTGTATTCACCCGTAGGAGATCATTGGAGGGACTAGGGCCTCTAAACCTAAGAGGTGCAAGCATCCAGATTAAGGGAGAGGTAAAATACCTCGGGGTTATAATTGACTCGAGACTTACCTGGAACCAGCATCTAAAAAAAAAACCACAAGGAGAGCGAAAACCTCGTTAATGATGGCAAGGCGATCCTTTGAAAAAAATGGGGGTTAAAACCAGACATGGTATATTGGCTTTAAAACATGGTGGTGCGACCGATAATAACATACGCAGCTTTGGTGTGGTGGTCAAAGACATAGCAAAGAAAAGCAATAACGAGGCTAAGCAAGGTACAAAGACCTGCCTGCCTCGGAATAACTGGGTCAATGAAAACAACCGCCACTGCTGCAATGGAAGCACTAATAGGACTCCCACTTCTTTACTATGTGATACAAGAGGAGGCAAGATTAGGTGCTTATAGATTAGGGAATACACTGGGAAATGTTGACATTAGGCCAGGTCACATGAGTATTTCAAGGTTAGTGACAGGAGACGTGCTAGACATGAGATCAGACCACATAACCAAGAAGTACTCTTTTAATACTCCATTTGAGGTTTTAATACAGGAAAGAGCAATGATCACCATAAGGGAGCCTAATGTCCAACGACAGGAACAAACCTGGTATACAGATGGGTCTAAGACTGCGGAAGGCACTGGGACGGGAGTATTCTCCAAAAACCCTGATACTATGCTATAGGAATACATTCCTCGGTATTTCAGGTCGAGGTATACGCAATTTTGCAATGTGTAAAAACGAACAATGAAAGAGCTGTCGAAAATCAGCATATTCAAATAATGTCAGACAGCCAAGCGGTACTTAAGGCCATATCGAGTCAGAGAGTTACGTCGAGGCTGGTATGGGAATGCATCGAACAACTAAGAACACTGGTAGACCGAAATAGAGTAAAACTATTTTGGGTGCAAGGTCACCAAGGGATCGAAGGCAATGAAAAGTATAACGAACTTGCAAAAAGAGGGTCAGAAGAAACATCGGAACTAGACACAAACCCAGGAGTACCAAAAAGTACAGTCCGGGGTTTCATAAACGACTGGATTCGGGAACAACATATCAACTATTGGGGAAGCAACAAAAAGCCTTCATAGGCAGACCATGTCCCAAAAGAACTGGAGAACTACTCTTTATGAATAGGAACCAGCTAAAAGTGATAGCAGGGTTCAAGACTGGGCACGCCCCAGTAAAGGGACACTTGAACAATATTGGCATGTACAATGGAGAACTCATGTGCTGACTATTTCACAAGAAACCAGAAACGGCCAAACACATACTGTGCGAATGTAAAGCTCTAGATCGCAAAAGACAGGCTCTTTTTGGACAACCCTAGGTTGATCCAACAACGTATAGAACCAACTTACCCAAGGATCTGTACAAACTTGTACAAGGTACAAAGGTGACAGAGTCGGTGCTATGAACTAACATGGGGTAAAACACAATAAGCCAATAGGCTTTAGTGTTATTCGGAGACATAGTGAGGCGAGCCCAGGAGTAAAAAAACCCGTAACAGTACATTAAATTATATTATTGCCTTCCCTAATATGCAATGTTATCCTATTTATCTGTATGTATTTATCCTTTTACCAGATCTTCATGTTATGCTGTCTAAAGTAGGACTAATTTTCTAACTAAATTCATTTCGGACACGTTTACTTTTAGAAGATGAATAAATATTGTATAACAAATATTGAAATACTTACTTCAATAGTAATATTATTAGCTTGAAAATACAGAACACTAACTTGCAAGAAGAGAACAACTCCTTGTGAAATTTTAAACAATAACATCATTTTGCTTACTGAGGCAATACTTTCCTGAAACAAAAATAAAAGAAAATAATTTTTATGACCACTGCCCATAAAATGACATGTTTCTGGAGTAGGATACCCTCAGTGATAACGTGGTTTTGGTCACAAATTATCTACAATTCGACGAATTCAATAGTAAATTGAATTTGGAAATAAAGATACATTTGGGATGTGTTAATTGTGCTGAAAGGATGAAAAACAAATGAATGAATAATCCAATATATCTTACTTACATCAAACATTGTCACCAAAGTCAATGAAATATGATACGATTTTAGAGTAAAATCGATAAAGAAAAACCATTTCAAATTTTCGTTCAGCTTCTTCACGTGTCTAAAAGAAAGTATTAATGGGTACCTGTTATGTATGCAACTACTGTATTATTTGTAGAATTGAAGACATTATCTTGAATTAAAATTAACTTTTTATTTTTTAAAAATAATTTGAAAATTAAAAACTTCAATAAAGTTGACAAGACGTAAAATAAATAACAACAAAAATAATTCAGCATTTAGTTGCATCATTTCGCCAAAAGATGACGGAACACCCGGCAAGTCGCAAACCAAGTAGGTATTGCAAATTTGGGGCTAATAATAAGTCATATCAAAGACAAACTTTTAGAACAAAGTAACAAAATCTAACAAAAAATAGAAATAAATTGACCAAACAATTGACTTTTGCATTCTTTAAATTTTTTGTTAAAACAATAAGTGACAAATAAAGATTTGGTGACTTAATACACCTTACCTTTAAGGTGCTTAATTTCTTATCGAGACAAAGAAATAATTAAGTACATTGTTTGCACTAGAAGGCGTAACAGTCCTTCTCAACACAATTATGTAACAGTCAGGTTAAGTTCAAAATGTTTGTATACCTTGTACACCTACCAGGTGGACCTATAACGTCCAATAATGAGAAAAATATTTTTTTATTTGATATAAAAAATATATAGACAATTCATAAACATTATTATTTTTAATGATTTCATAAAAGTCATAACTATTCAAAACAAGGTTACACAACACAAAAATAAAATACATCAACAATACGGAGTACCAGTATTTTGCGTCACTAATACTCAATTCCCAACATGCGTCCACCTAAAGTCATAGCATCATATGACTTAATAACCTAATCTGTCAGGCCGTTTAACTTGTCTTCTACTTCGTGTAATGACGGATTTTCCTTTTTAAAGTTTATTTTCGCTGTTACTGATAAAATCCTCCAATTTCTTGGTCTCGACCAAATGTTTCGACAAAGATCTTTAGCAAGCTCGGGTTATAAAAAATCCTTTTCTTCGCAATCATAAACTTCAAGGGAAAAAATTCGTTGTAGTGGCCGTAATAAAAAAACTCTTTACAGTTTTTACTTACTAGTCCAATTTAACTAGTTTTTCCGGGAATCAATTCAATAGTCTTTCCTATTGGCCAATCAATGCGCTTGCTGTTGTTGCTCCCACTAAATACTATATATCTCCTTCTTTGATTTTCTGTTTATTAATTTTTCTTTTCTGTAAATTTAGACATTCTAGATATTCTTTTCTGAAATTACTTCTAAGAATTTCTCCCAATTTAATTCGGTCATTAATTAGAATCGGTTTAGTAAAAATGTGTTTTAAAACAAAATTTCAGCCTTTGAATAATAATATAGTGAAAAATAATTATCTACATTATTAATTCAAGGCATTTTGTATTTTTGAAAACAGAATTATCCATAATCATACAACTATCTATATCATTGACTCTGGCAAATCACCAGGCGCACAATGTTACCATATTATAACCTATCACGTGCCTGTCAGTGGTCTGTTATTGCGTACGGGCAACTATTTTGTTTGGAATGCCTAATTGATGACTGCTTCATAATAAAGTTAAAAGTTCTTCATTTCTTAATGAAGCTTTTCCCAATACTTTTTTAAGTAAATCCTTCAAAATTCCTATTAATCTTTCTCACCATACTCGTTGAAGGATTTATTTCTCTGCCACACACGTAGAAGATCTTCTGGAAGACAGGACTCCACTAGTGGGTAGATAATAGCGGCACATGTATCAGTAGTCACATTTAATGTTTCTAATGAATTGAGTCCCCATCTTATCGTATTGAACACTTTGTTAAGTTTTATTAATTAAACTACTTAAAACTAATTTTAGTAATTCTGACATATCTTTCTAGCAATAAATCTTCTCTGTCAAATCTAGATTTCAAACTCTCTAGAAGTACCTAGCAAGATAGCTTTCAAGGAGTTGTCTGGCTCGACATACGGGAGTGGTATTTAAATTTGTCTTCCTTCTCTATTTGGTTATCACCATGGATTCTTCGCAACTAGTACCAAACAGTGGCAGTTTGCCCGTAAAGGCTCTTGGGCACGTGCCCTAGTATAATAAACCAAAAAAAATAACACATATTTTATATTTTATTCAATGCTTATAATGCCTATTATTATTTTATCTAATATTTAGCGCAACCCGCGTTGGCACGACACTGGACGACTGGGCGTTGAGCGACGTTCCGAGAATTCCTAAATTAGATGGGCACAGGGTACAGTAAATGTGTGCCTCTGTTGTTTCCTCTCTCATTATGAAGCGAAAAACAAGAACAACGACAATATCGCTTAGCAAGAGATGAACACATGCGATGGGTTATATGCAGGGCGCTGCCCTCATCGTGACGTGCTTCACCCATGGTACAGATTACCTAGACCAGATCACAATGATCAGATACGAATACGAATGTAGTGCCCACGAGCTGCCACTGGTACCAAAAGAACAACCAGTCTTTCAGGTATCCGCTAAATTTCTTAAATTCTATTTTCGGTAGCTTGAGGCGTCTTTTACTAGTAGAAGAAAGGCTGCTAATGAAGTGTATGTTAGCTATATCTTTACGAAATTGAAAATCAACTTTCATATGTTGTGTGTGAAAATGCTTAATCACATCATCGATCTCAGACTTCATTCTATCAACATCTACATCAATAGTATCATCGTCCAAAACAAAATCGATAATTTTCTTATTTATTTCATTCAAGGATTCAAATGTACCTCCAAGGGTCCTCTTTTGATTGTTTTAAATGGAGCTTCAGAAAACTATCACGTTGGGATCACCAAATGTTGCGCTTTTACACCTACCAGGAGGACAGAGAACGTCGAATAATGAGGGAAAGACTTTATTATTTGACATAAAAAATATATAGACAATTCACAAAAAATATTTTCAAATCATCTCATAAAAGTCATAACGTTTCAAGGCAAACACAGAAGAGAGAACAATACAGAAAAAAAATATAGGACTGAGATAGGTATACTGTGAATAGTTACGTTTTCTCGAGTATCTCTGTGGTGGAACTAGCCATATGTTTCTTTTCTCTATTGTTCCCTCTTTGTTATCTCTTCTGTGATGAATATAAAATACATCAACAATACGGAGTACCAGTAATTTGCGACACTAATATTCAATTTCCAACAGTTATCATATATATTCGTAATAAAAAAATCCAGATTAGTTATCCGAGCGCATTTGATTTACATGTATTTTCTAAATTCTATCATTATTAAGTATAGCCAAATAATGTAATTTTTCCATCTACTATGACCCTTTCTTACCATAAACGTTCGTGAATCCCTAAATTCTGAATATAATCATTGTTTCCGTTAAGTGGAACTGTTGAATTCTTATTTAAAATTGGTTAAATTATATCCATTCGAGATCTTTTTTCTCTTTTGAACATTAAACTTAAAGAAGATTGATTGTTTTTGATGATAGACACCTGGAAAGATTAAAATAAATTGAGGTTTACTTATAACTGTGACTCTGGCTCGACTGACCACAATTTTGCCCATTTACTTTTAAACTTTTATAAAATTTTCCCTTTAAATAAGTTGCAATGAATTCCTTAATTTGACTATTAAAATATTTATTATCTGAATCAATTTGATTGGTAGAAGCAATTTTCTTCGTACAAACGTTCTGAACGTACCTAACCCATTTTATGACAGAAGTTACAAAATAAATCCTTTCTAGAGCAAGCAGAAGCTATATGTGTTTTATTACCACACCTAAAACAATAAATTTTAAATTTTTGTTGGACGTAGCTGTAGGCCGATTTGAGGAAAGTGAATGTTAGTTTCCTCGAAAGTTACAATGATTCGATATTTCGATAGAATATCCCATGTTGTGCTCTCGTTACATGTTTTTCCATTATAAGTTGTTGTTCTGCTGCTTTAGCTCGGAATATTGCCAAGAGACGTTCTAATCTTGTTAAAGATTGATCGTTGTCGTTATGAACCGAGAACATTAGTTTAAGCATATATGGCGCTTTGTCCACTGTTTTAAAATATAAAGCACCACAGTAAAGGAGGGAAAGCATTAAGCTATCGCGGTCCTGTCACATCGCGAGCTATGGTAGGTGCTAGTCTCGCTCGCATCGCCTGCTCCTGCAAAGAATCTCGGGAGACCATAATGCCGTTAACACTAGCGCAGCCCGCGATGTGACGGGATCGCGATTGCCCAATGCGTTTTCTCCTTATCAAACTTCTTTCCTGGTGTGGCGGTAAGTAAATACAGGAAACCGATGATGGCGTATTTTCACGCAATGCATCTCGTCTCCACTTTATTACTCCAAGTGAGTAGAGAACTATTGGGACAGCAAGCATATTTGTATCGGCAACTTTATTAATTACGAGTTCTGATTCCCCTTTGAAAGGTATTTTTTACTCTGTCCATGTCATGCATACATTTTTGATTGGTAAGTCTCTTCGAGCACCAAATGACGTAAACTGGCGAATGATATATTATCGGCGAGCTGATCGTTGTCTGGCTAGTCCCTGAATGTTGGAATTGATTAAAAAATAAAGAATTTATATAGGTACTTTCGTTTCAAGTGGATCACTCTATAATTGTATAAAAACTTTGTTGAAGTTTACCTTATTATGTCACTATGTTTTATAATAATATTTCTTAAAAATTCTTTCGTTTCTGTTAAGCTCCTTTCGTTATTTGAAAATAATTTTTCCATTTCTTTTCCCAATACTTTGATTCGGACTTGTGTATAATTTAGTAAAGATATAATTAAAGAATCAGTACACGAGATGATTAGTCCACCCACAAATCCACAGAAAATCTAAAAAGAAAGTATTTATTGATAATCATTAATAATAAATTGTCAGCTTATTGAGCTTATCGAGACTTTTAAATATATTTTGCAAGTGATTTTCTTGGGGGTTTTAGGAATTGCACTTAATAAAATAGAAAAAAAATGTTTTTAAATTTTATTTTATTGAAAAGAAATATATTGGTGAGGATAAGGTACTAAAGGCTTAAAAATAGTTAAGTAGGTCTTAAGTACCAGTCTGGTCATCACAGAATTCTCCTCATCAATCTAGGGCATTGATCGGATGCAAAAAGAAAATCGTTGAGCATAGCGTAATCTGACTAAATATGTAAATAGCCTTAATAATGATATGAGCGGTTGACTGTTGATATAAATTT